TGTGGTGACTGTAGAATGGGGAGACCCAGTCAAGCCCCAGATCTAAGCAGACCTTCCTCACCTCATATGATGCTGCTGAAAACACAAACCTCACTCAACCTCCTAGTTTGTTTCCTTCCTTCTTCCCCAGTAAGCAAGACTATGACAGTTTAATATTTCAGGACCAAAGACTTTTTATTTTAAAAATTATAAGTATAAACAAAAGCAGGCTGTATGTGTGCATATGTCAGGGAGAAGAAGAAATTGTTAATGTTCACTGATCTTTTCAAATTCTACTTCTGGGAATGTGAGAATGACGACATAGCATAGACAGCCTTGATGAGACTCTTAATAGCTGCAAAGAGGGTGAGCTGTCTGGATAGCACTGCAGTCGACTCCCCACCTCCCCTAAACACAGCTATGAAATGCTGTCACTTTTCATCAGTACTCTACACGGTGCATGAAGACGCCAACAGACAAGCAGTCCCTCCTTGCTTGAGAAAGAGTACAGTATTACATCTGGTTGCTTCTAGTAGCTTTCTGTACTGTTTTCACTGTTCTGGGATGGTGGCTTCAAATACAAAAATGAAATCCAGTCTGGATAAGGACAGGTCCCCAGACATCCCTGCAGGACTCCCATTCTGAATGGGTAACAGCAAAGCCACAGTTTCACAGAGGCTCCTTGGACTCACACAAAGGAGCTTATTTTATTTTTATATTTTTAAATTTTTATTTAAAAACTTAGAGATGGGGTCTCACTATGTTGCCCAGGCTGGTCTCGAACTCTTGGGCTCAAGTAATCCTCCTGCCTCAGCCTCCCAATGTGCTAGGATTAAAGGCATGAACCACTGTGCCCGGCCAGGTCTTTACTTTAATAGCAGACTGCACAGTTCTGAGTGTTTCATAGTCACAGTTGCTTATTAACCTACATGTTCCCTTCCTCAAAATGCTCTCAAAAAAGGGTGACCAGAGTCCTTGTGGGGGCTACTTCTAAGGTTTACTCTAATAATATGAACCATTTATTGAGCCCTTGCTATGTACCAGACACTGGTACACAGTATACCATATACTGTACTGTATATACTATACCGTATACTATGCAGAGCATACGTATTTTTATTGGAGACAGAGTCTCACCATATACTGTACTGTATATACTATATACTGTACTGTATACCATATACTGTATTGTATACCATATACTGTATATGTACTGTATACCATATACTGTATACCATATACTGTACTGTATACCATATACTGTACTGTATATACTATACCGTATACTATGCAGAGCATACATTTTCCATTTAATCTTCCCATCATTTAAAGGTAGATTATTATTAATCTCAGTTTACAGACTGGGAAACTAAGGCTTAAAAAAGACCAATCATTTGCCCAGGGTTATACTGCTAGTAATAAGCTTAGGGTCTGTCCTTCCAAAATGCATGCCTTTAACCAGTACTCTAGACTTGAACGAGGAGCAGCACAATTAGAAAGAGCACTGGCTTCGCAGCCAGAGCCTTCCCACTAATTAGCTGTGCGACCCTAGGTGACTAACCTCACCAAGCCTCTGTCACTTCGTCTTAGATGTGGGAATAATTATTTCTACCCTGCCTTTCTCCAGAGGTTGAAGACTGTATCAACACCTGTTGCTGAGTTCTAGTAAGTTCATTTCTCTTGGACAAACTTTCTTGTCCATCTGTTCAAGATCAGGAATGAGAGCTGGGATGAGAGAAGAATTGCAGACAAGGGAGGGCTAAAACTAAATGACTAAGTTATTCGTTCTTCTTGTCACACATTTTATTTGCTTTTTGTAACTGGCGAAACACAATTCTAATGTTTGACAATGAATTTTACTAACATTAAAAGCTATCTAGACATGATAGCCAGGTGTGGTGGTTCACGCCTATACTCAGCACTTTGGGAGGCCAAGGTAAGAGGATCACTTGAGCCCAGGAGTTTGAGACCAGCCTGAGCAACAGAGTGAGACTCCTAAGTCTCTACAAAAAATACAAAACTTGGCTGGGTGTGGTGGTGCACGCCTACAGTTCCAGTTACTAAGAAGACTGAGAAGAGAGAATCGTTTGAGCCTAGGAGGCCAAGGCTACAGTGAGCCATGATTGTGCCACTGCACTCCAGCCTGGACAACACAGTGAGACTCTGTCTCCAATAAAAAGCTATCTGGACATGATGGTCAGGTGCAGTGGCTCACACCTATAATCCCAGAACTTTGGGAGGCCAAGGCAGGAGGATCACTTGAGGCCAGAAGTTCAAGACCAGCCTGGGGAACATAGGCAGACTCCATCTCTATAAAAAATTAAAAATAAACTTTAAAAAAGCTATCTAGACATGAAATTAAACAATCAAAATAGGGGACCACATAGTATGTGTTCAATAAATAACTAGAGGAAGGCCGGAGAAGGACAGGCCAGGGAGCAGGCAGTACTGGCATTTCTTCTGGATCTCGCTTAGGGATTGGCCTGTTGGTATTTTCTTTCTCTATGGGGTTAACTTATTCTTTGGTCTCTAGCAAATTAACTTGGTCAAATAGATTATTTAACTTATGAATAAAGAACTTGAAAGCAATGCAGTGACAAATATTCTCAGCTAAACCACAATATTCTATAGCTTGAACAGCCTCTGATTTTTCTGAACAGAGGCATCATACTAGGATGGGCCTCTTGCTTTCTTGAAATGTCAAATTGCCTAGTTGAAGCAACACCCATGGAGACCAAACACACACACATATACACACATACACTCCCACAGAGCTGATATAAAAAAAGATGCTGCAAACAGTAGCTAATAAAATCCCAGCGCACACATTTATTCCTACAGTCATCAGTTAACACAACACTGACGCAGAGAAAGATCCCTAACAACCTGCTAGTGAGGACTTTTGGGAACTCTTGAAAAAATACACGCAGAGATCAAGAAACGAAAATGAATTTATGATGGTTTGGTTAGAAGCTATGTTTGAACGAAGAAAATAAAAGATGTTAAGTAATAACTGGGGGAATCCCTAACCATACAGTGGGGATTTGGGTATATACAGAATATGAAATATTCATCATTCTCCATGGAGCACACTTGTGGCTGAAGCTCTGCAACAGAACCACAAAATTAACCCATTTTCTCCACAGTTAAAATCGCTAAAAAGAGCAAAAGTGCCGATTTGGCTCTGTTCAAGATTTAAAAAAAAACAAAAAACATTAGGAACACAGTGAATACTCTGCAACTAGAGGAGCACCTGTAACTAAATCCGCCATTAAAGAGATGGCATTTCTGTTAAACCACATGGCATCATGGCTCCAGTGCCGGTGTCTATCCTAACACATAACATAAACTCATGGGGAACCTCTGTGCCCCTTCTTCCAGTTTCCAGGGTCTGTAAGGACAAGAGGTTGCTCTCAGTGGGGGCCCATGGGAGCAACAGCAGCATAAGTAGAGTGTGCCTCCCTGCCACTCTGAATGACTGTTCACACCCTTCCCCTCCCGTCCACAGGTCCCCCACTGACTCTACTTACTAGTGTCAAACAGATACAGAACCTAAACATCAAGGGGGGACCCGGGGAAGTGCACACACCATCGGAAATGGGGGAGAGGAGTTGTGTGTGAGAAGGACTGGGGAAGAGGAATTTGCTTAAATCTGACATCTTTCTCATTGCCTGGTCTAACTCAGTCCTGTTAAAACTGCTCATCAGAGCGGTGTCCAGATACAAAATGTTTCTCCTGAGAGTCAGAGGGTTTTGAGTGACAAGTATTACACTGTCAAGAGATCATTCATTTCTAATTGAGACAGCATTTGGAGGAGCAAAACTCCGGCATAAAATTAGAGCCTATTAATCCTACTCAGAAACAAAAGTAAATAAATTCAAAAGGTTTTAATTAAGCCTACCCAACAGGAGGAGGCAGAGACTGAAGAAGCATCATGCCCAATAATAACCAGGATTTGGGAAGCCCAAAGAACTCCCTATAAATATATTGCTTTTTTTAAATTCTGGGGGGAAAAAAGTAACTCCACCTTTCATTGAACATAGGATACCAAAAATTACATAAGGAGTTGCATTCCAAATGTTGCATGCAAAGAGAGCAATTGAAATTGATTGGAATGCTTTATCTAATCACTGTTAATAAATAAGAAGACCTTTCATTAGTTGGCAGGAGGACAGTTGCTACTGGTCAATTTGATTTTCCTGAAAACGGTGAAGACTTGCATGCACTTTTCTTTTTCCCCAGATATAATCCCCAAAGTCCAGACTCTTTCTAGAATCAGAAGTTGTCATGTAGTGTCATCCTCTTCCTTAACAGACCTAAAGTCTCCTTTCACGTGTTCCCAAATTGTTTGTTTTGGACACTTTTTATTGCAACCTTTTTGAAAGTGAAGAGTTTAGAAACCTCATGGCAAATAAGAAATTGTTAATCCAGAGTGAGCATGTAGGAGGCTGGAGAATGAAAGGATCTATCCAGGGCACACTAGGTAGGAAGCCGATACTTTGAAACCTGAAATAACCAAGATTCCTCAATTATTCGTCGAAGTTACATGGGAGATGTAGTCAACTGAGCGTAAGAAGATGCTCTATATGTTGTCAGCAAGGGGGGAAAAGTCAGTTCTATGTATCCCTGGCTTAGGAATCTATCGCACCCCACCGTCCCACGGCAGGCTACATCTGGGTTGATTTTCTGGGTTCCCAAATTCGATAGAGAGCGCCCCGGGATAAAGGACCGGCGGCCCCACCTGCTGGGTCCCATCCGCCACCCGGAGCAGGAAGGCCTGGCCCCCCTTCCAAGTGGACCCCTTCCCTCCCTGCTCCCAGAAGCCCGGCCCAGAACGGCATTCTCTCTGGGGACCCAAAAGCAATCAGACATTTAAAAGAAAAAAGAGGGAGCCCGGGCTGGCATTATATAACAATTTACAATAGATAAGGCTTCTAGAAAACGAAAGCAGCCCGAGGAGGGGCAGGGGACAGGGAATGCGAGGGGAGCGCGGCGTCGGGGGAGCGGCCGCTGCCACTTACTCGAAGGCGAAGAAGAGTCCGCTAGTGACCAGGATGAGGACGAGCGTCAGGTAGAAGACGCCCGTCTGCCGGGCCATCATGATCCTCCCGTTGCAGAAGAACTTGTTTCTTCCCGGGAACACCTCCCATTTCCTCCGGGCCGCGATTTTCTTCTTCTTGTGGGGCGACTCCATGGGGGAGGAGCTGTGGGTGCTGATCTGGCTGTACTCGCAGTCTTTCATGGGCCCGCCGCCGCCGGGAGGCATCCACGAGGGCAGCCGGCTGGGGGCGCACACCCCCAGGAGCCCCCCGGCCGCGCGGGCCCCGCCAAGCCACGACCGCCGCCGGCCGCCCGGCCGCCCCCCGAGCCGCGGCGCCGCGGCCCCTACACGGGCTCCCGGCTCGGCGACAACTTTGCCGAGGACACCCAGGTTAACCCTCCGGGGAGCCCAACTGTCATAGCAGAAGCCCCGCTCCGTGGGGGGACGGCGCTGGTCCGCAGCCCGCGGCAGCGCTCCTCCGTCGCTTCCAGCCCGCGTCCCGGGGCGCGGGGCTCAGCCCAGCCGGCCCCCGGGTCGCCGAGCGCCCGCCCCCTCGCGCGGCTGCCCGCTCAGCCCTGCAGCCCCCGGCTCCCCGGCTGCGCCTCGGCTCCGGCCCGCCGACCCCCGAGTACTGCGCCCCGAGGGGACACGAGGCGGCGGCCCCGGGGCCGGCTTCCTTGGGAGCCACTTCTGCGCCGCGGCCAGGTTGGGTCCACTCCTTCCTCCGGCGGCGGATCCTCCCAGGAGAGAGCGCTGGCGACTGGGCGGCCGCGCGCGGCACCGGCAACCCCTCCCAGGGGTGGGGACAACCACGCACGTTTTTCTGTCAGGAGCTTCTCGCACCGCGACCCAGTGTCGCTGCTCCTGGCAGCCTAGTCGAGTCCGCGGCCCCCGCGCGGGGATGCCCGGGCCGAGGGCGGCGGCGGCTCGCGGGCCGCGCAGCGAGGGCTCCCTTGCTCCCTCCTACCCAGAGGAAGCGGCCCCGGCGCGAGGAGGGCCGCGGGGACACCGCACAGACACTTGTTTGCAAGGCTCAGCCCCGGCGCGCGCGCGGCGCTCCGAGTGGGTCCGCCTCCTCCGGGCCGGGTGGGCGGTGGCCCCGCGCCTCACCCGCGGCTCCTCCTCCTGCTCCTCCTCCTCCTCGCCCGCGAAGCCAGGGCACCGGCGCCGCGGGATTCCAGCCCCAGTCCCCTCGGGCGGGCGCCCTGGGCTGTGGAAGGCGCGGGGGGCTCCCTGTGCCATCGCCCGAGTAGGGATGGGGTTGGGCGCCCGGCCCCGCCGCGCCGTGTGCTCCTGGCTGACTTCAGTCAGTCTCGCGGCTTCTCCCGGGTTTATCCCCCGCAGCAGCTGCCGCCTCGGGACACGCTCATTCCCACGGCCACCGGCAAGCCAGTCCGGGCGACTCCCCGGGAGCTGAGGAGCCGCGGCGCGGAGGTGACCCTCCCCAGCCTGCGCCCCCCTTCTTCCTCCTCCCCAACTGGGCGCGTGGTCGCGTCGCCTGGGGACTCTGCTGATGCCCGAGGAATGGGGTGGGGTGCTAGGTGCCAGGATCGGGAGAGGCGGCCCGAGGCCGGCCTGACTCCGGGACCCCGCTGCGGGTGAGGGTCTCGAGGCCCGGCTCGGCCGGCTTCCGGGCCGAGAAGGGCAGACGAAGCGGTCAGGGTCCCCTCCGGCCCCGGCCTCCCTCCCGGAGTAGAAGCCCCTTGGAGGCCAGGTTCTGGGTTGCTGCCGCCCAGCCTTTTCGGTCTCCACTTCTCCCCACGGACGTTCACAACTGCTCGCTTTATTTCTCCCTCCATTCCCCCGTGGAGCCCCCTCGGCAGCGGAGGGATCGCGTGCTTCTCCTCTCCCGCCCGCGCCTCCCTCCTTCCCACCCGACAGCCCAGGAGGAGCTGCGGGCGCGGCCCTGGGACTGCCGAAGCCTGGGACGCCTGCTCGCTCACGCCCTCCCGGGATTTGCTGCGGGTCCGAGCCCCCGCAGAGGTGGGCATAGCCCGGGCCGCGGAAAACGAAGGCAGCTGGGCGGGGACGCTCGATTTTCCGAGCCCCACTTTCCTTTCACAGCCCACTGGGATGTGTAGTTCTTTCGCCCGCCGGCAGGCGCCGAGGGAAAGCACGACGCGGGGCCTTAGAAACTACGAGTCCCTGCATCCCCTGCGACAAGGGCAGGAGAGGCGTGGTGCCAGGCGTTCTGGGGCTGGGCGGTGGGAGATGGGAACCAACAAAGGGGGTTGTGGGGAACGGTGCCTTCTCTGTACCGGGCAGTTTGCACGTTACACATGTTCTTTGTCTAATCTTCACCGGAACCCGGCGAGGTATTATTGTATCCAGCTTAGGGAAAGCTTAACTACTGGCCAAACATCACAAAGCTCCCAAGTAGTAGAGATGGCATCGAACTCAGAGCCCTAAGTATGTCCCTTACAAAGCGTGCCTCAGTGAGCAGTGTCGAAGGGGGATGAGATTGGCTTATCCAAGAGGGCCAGTTGGGAGGAGCTTCCTGTAGTAAGGAAAAAGTGATGGGAATAGCAATTAGAGTATGACATGAAATTACAAGGAGTTTTGAATAAAAATGAAATTTACAGGGGTCCATTCCAAAGCCGGTTAGAGTCTAAGGAGAATGGATCTGAAGCACACGATGAATAATTGGGTTTTAATTATTTTAGATATTGTATGAGAGACAAGCATATTACAGGGACAATTAAGTGCTTTGTGGCTGGACTATTTTTTAAAAACCAACTGGAAAGCTTCAGACTTTTCAAGTGAAAGCTCTCATATGCTTTCCTGTCCTTTAGCTAATGAGATCAACGGGGTATTATTCTTATTCTGTTTATTGCAAGCACCTTTTCTGTGGGTGTCCAATTAATATAATAGATCCATTGATTTGATGGCATTAAAAAAGACTCCCACTCTTATTCTCAATGAAACCGAATTTTTCAGGCATTATGGTTATGCTTTTAAAAAGTTCTTCCTTGTCTGTTACAAATAGGTATTAAAGTATCTGCCAGTGAAATAATATAAAGACTGAAATGTGCTTTAAAACACACCAGCCCATCCACTCCCCTCCTCCCACCCACCCAGCCCCAGACATGGAGGTGTAAATGAAACAATTGGAAACTGTTGAAAATAGTTGACCTCAGGTGACGTATACTTATTTATTGCTGCAAATTGCAACAAATTTAGTGGCCTTAAGACAGATTTTTCTCACAGGTTTTGTGGATCAGGTGTCCAGGTACACTCAGTCCTCCAGTTAGGGTCTCACACCTGCCATCCAGGGGCTGGCCAGGCTGCGTTCACATTCACTGGAGAAGAACTGGCTTCCACTCTGACTCTGGGCACAGGCAGAATTCCTTTCCTTGCAGCAGTAGGACCCAGGGCCCTGGCTTCTTGCTGGCTGGAGACTGGAGACTGTCCTCATCTCCAAGAGGGAACCTGCAATTCCCAGAGGTTACCTGGACTTCATTGTCACTTGGGCTTTCCGAGCACAGTCACTTATTTCATCAGGCCCGCAACAAGAGTCCCCAGAGCGAGTCTTCAGCAAGACAGAATTTTATATAACATAAAGCAATCCCACGGGGGCAACTTCAAATGTGAACGTTGTGTTGGCCAGAAAGCATGTTTGCACACACTCAAAGGGAGAGGAGTACACAGGGCACGAACACTAAGGTGAGGGGGTACCCTGGAGCGCATCCACCACAGTGTACAAGAGGATCCATTATGCTATTCTTACCTATCACATCTACTCGTGGTTATGTTTGACATTTTCCATAATAAAAAGAAATGAATTAATTTTAAAATGTTACCTAAATTTTCCACAGCAAATAAGATATTGCTGATATGATTTCTAAATAAGCTGATACAATCGTCTGTAGTTGTCTTCCTGGGGTTTACCTATTTCTTCCCACTCCATGTGTACTAAGACCTCTGCAGTTAATTCACTTATATGGGTTACTCTCACCTAAGCCCGTTCACTAGAACCCAGTGTGTGATAGCTGCAGAATTCACCTCACCAACTACAGTTGATCTTGAACAATATGGGTTTGAACAGCGTGGGTGCCCTTAGACACGGATTTTTTTTCAACCAAATGCAGATGGAAAATACAGTATCCTTGGGATGGGAAATGCGAGTATTCAGAGGGCGAAGGCCAACTCTTCCTATATGCAGGTCCTGTGGAGCCTGTTTAGGGGGCCTGAGTATTTGCAGATTCAGGTATACGCAGGTGATTCTGGAACCAATCTCCTGAGGATACTGAGAGACGACCATAAAACCTACTGTATAAGGTATGGTAGAGTTTATTCATTTATTTTACAGTTATCTATTTCAGGGCCTAGATTGTGCTAAGTACAGTTTTAGCAGCAGCAATATAAAAAGATCCGAGATAGAAGCTTATATTTGGGGACTGGGGGAGAGGTGGAGAGAATAAACAAATAAATGACTAATAAGACAATTTCAGAGAGTAATTACAAGAACAAAAAAACAAAGCAGGGTTATGAGATGGAGAGACTGGGGTCGGGCAGAGAATTGAATGATGAGAAGCAGCAAGTACCAAGTCCTCAAGGCAGAACAACCTGGAAAATTCTAGAAGTACAAAGAAAAACCAGTCTAGCTGGAGTGGAGCGAGGGCCAGGGAGAGAGGGAAAAAGGAACAGGACCAAGGAAGCATCTGGAATTGATTCTGTATGCACCAGCATCAGTTCTGTATGCCTCACTCTGTGGCCACCATCGGTGTAAGTGTTGAGGGGTCTGAAAGAAGAATCACCATCTTTGCCCTCCAAGAATGTATAGATTCCAAACTTTAATGCTAGAGGGATGTCAGCATATCTAGAATTAGAGATCAAAACATTTATTTGGCATACAAGGACACTGAAAAGTCAAAAGACCTGCTAAAAATTCCTTGAGCATGCCTCGCCAATAAGAAATAATCCGAAAATGAGTCTTGAATTGAATGGAAAGAGTGCATGATCGACTTTTGCTAAATCGAGTTTAACCTAATGCTGTCCCTTTACATATTTTAAGTTTGGGCTAAAGGTTTCTCTGTACAATGTGAACTGTAGCCTAAATGGAAGTGTAAACAGAATGTGATCTACTCGGGTGTCAATTACTGGGTTTTGGCCACTCAAATGTGGCCAACTGTTCAAACCATGTTCAAATAAGACAAACGCAGAGCTGCAACCATCTGGCTGTTTCCTTATCTCATTTCCGCTTTCTGTATGTCACTTTCTTTTTTCTGTCCATAAATTCTCTTCCACCACGCAGCTGCACTGGAGTCTCTGAAGCTACCCTGGTTCAGGAGGCTGCCCAATTCATGAATCATTCTTTGCTCAATTAAACTATTTTAAATTGAATTCAGCTGAAGTTTTTCTTTAGCACTTAAACACTTTAGAAAATTGATAATGAATGTTTAGTGCCTGTCATGTGCAGGGCAGTGTGATAAAGAAGGTAAATGTGGCAGAGAAACTACAGTCAAGGTTGGGAAACAAGATGAGAAATTCACATGAGAAATTCAGCGAGACAAGAAAATCATATTATAAAAATAATGATCTTTTCTCCAGAGTATTTTTGAATTAGTCAATCTCCTGGTTCTTTATACATTTAGCTCATTAAATCCAGAGGACAACCTGATGAGGCAGGATTATCTTTATTTCACAGAGGAGGAAACTGAAGATCAGAGAAGTTAGGTGATTTGCCCAGGGTTTTGCAGTAAGTAAGTAATGGAGTCAAGATTTTAGGCCAGGTATGAATGTCTGACTCAAGCTTTCCTATATCCCCCACTCAATGGAAAGAGCACGTGGTCTGATGAACCAACAACTGAGTGGAATAGAGAAAATCATCTTGATTTCAGAGCAAAGAGAAATCTCAGGCCCAGGCTGAAGCAAAGTGCAACTCTGACCTTGACAGTTTGGACAGGAAGAATATAAAAGGGTTAGTCTCTCAGGGAAATGGGGATGGGTATAGAAAAGTAAATTATTGGGAAAGTACATGATGTTTCTAGCTGGAGTAGAACTGACAAGGATCCAAGCACAATTAGTTTATTTGGGAGGGGATTGCAGAAAAAACAGCAGAAGAGTGAGGAAGTGAGAAACCACTAAAGCATGTGCTATCGAGCAAGCTACCACGGTGGACCACTGAAACTCAGACCCTTTAGGGCAGCGGTCCCCAACTTTTTTGGCACCAAGGACTGGTTTTCTGGAAGACAATTTTTCCACGAACCAGAGGGTGAGGGGATGAGGGCATGGTTTTGGGATGAGTCAAGTGCATTACATTGATTGTGAACTTTATTTCTATTATTATTATTACATTATAATATATAAAGAAATAATTATACAACTCACTATAAGGCAGAATCAGTGGGAGCCCTGAGCTGTTTTCCTGCAATTGGATGGTCACATGTAGGAGTGATAGGAGGCAGTGACAGATCATCAGGCATTAGATTCTCATAACGAGTGTGCAGCCTAAGTCCCTCACATGCTCAGTTCACAATAGGGTTCATACTCCTATGAGAATCTAATGCTGATCTGACAGGAGATGGAGCTCAGGCAGTAATGTGAGCGAAGGGGAGGGCTGTGAATACAGATGA